ATAGTGGAAAAACAATGCATGAGCTTTGGAATGAATCAGATCCAGGTTCAAATCCTGACTCCGCCGTTCTAGCTTTGTGACACCTCTCTGAGCCTCAGTCCCCTCAACTGTACAATAGTAATAATGGCACCCCACAGAAATTCTTGTAAGGATTCAGTGAGAAGGGGTACCCAATAAATTTTGGTGTCATTCTTTCATTCCCTCTAAGTGTGGAATGAAAGGAAAAGTTTTGTTTCCTATTGATGGGAATCGAAGCTGTAGGGTCACAAGCTAGGAACTATTTGGAGATAAGCGATTCCTTCTGGATTACTGAAATCTTAGCCACTCTTAGCCCCTACTGCCCCAGACAGCGCTAGTTCAACTTGTTCATTCATTTATTTATTTATGTATTGAGCTCCTAGCTATTCTATCGATTCCATTACACTATAGTCCCTAATGACCACCAAAAGGGCAGATTCTACCTAATTTCTTATCTCGAGGGTTACAAACTCAAATACCAGGAGTTTGGTGTAAGAGTGGTGGGAAACAAGGAAAATGAGAGCTATTTACACAGCTCCACCTGATTGTTTCCGGGTGGAAGGCAGGGCCCAGTGTTACCATATTGATATTCTGAGTTTTAAAGAAAAGACAGAAATCTAGACTTCTATATAAAATGTCCCAGTTTTTTAAAATCCTGTGCCACAATTATATGCAATATATCATAAAACCTATATAAAGTGGATAATTTTCCGGAAAAGTACAACTTAGCAAAATTGACTCCTAGAGAGATGGCAAGTCTAAATAGACTAACTACCATAAAAAAAAAATAAAGTAATTGGAGAGCCTCCCCTGTAAAAAAGTCCCAGGCCCAAGACAGTTTCATAGGGGACATTCTTTCAACCTTAACGATCATGTAATATCTATGCCACGCAACTATTCCAAAGCAAAGAAAAAGAAGGAAAAGTGCTATTGAAGCTAGTACAATACTGATATGGAAACTGGATAAAGATTACACCAAAAAAAAAAAAAAAAAAGACCAATCTTATTTATGACTATTGATGTGACTAACCTAAATATTAGCAGAACCTAACAGCATATTAAAACAAAGAAGTCATGCCTAAAAGGGGTTTATTTAGGATTGTCAGGATAATCAGACTAATTAGGATATGCTAGGGCGGTAATTCTCAACTGGAGGTGATTTTGTCCCCAGCAAGACACTTGGCAAAAATGTTAAATATTCCACGATGCATAAGACAGCCCCCACAGCAAAGAATTATCTGGCCTAAAATGTCAATAGTGCTGAAGCTGAGGAACGCTACACTTGGTTATGTTCTAGTAACAGCTACCAAATCTCAATGGCTTGAAACAATGTTTGTTTCTCACTCATGATGGGGCTCTGCTTTGTGTCATCCTCACGCAGGGACCCAAGCTAAGGGAGGAACCATCCCCGTGCTTCTAAGATTTTCAAGAAAAATGAATATTGCTCTGGCTGCTAAGCTATGTCCAAAAGTGACATCCATCATTTCCATTATATTTCATTGGCTGCACCTAAATTCAAAGGGACAGGGATGTATGATTCATCCACAGGCCTGAACACAGAGAACTGGAAATATTCGCTAACAGCTTCAAAGCCTCAGGTAGTCCACAAGGCTACCCAGCCTCAAATCCTGTACTTCCTAAATGTGTGCCCTTGAACGAATCACTTAAAAATTCTCAGTGTCTCAGTTTCTTCCCCCCAAAATGAGGAAAATACATCAGCCTTGCAGAGCTATCATATAATGATTTAATAAATTAAAACATGTAAAGTGCTTAGAACAGTGCCTGGCACATAAAAAGAGCTCAGGACATGTTAGCCAAAATGTCGATGATGAATTAGGTGAAGTATCCAACATCGAATGGGCATTTAGTAAAGGATTGTTATAACTGAAACTCTGAAGAAAATGACTTGTCCAAGGTAACCCAGCTGGTAAGTTCAGCATGGTGGTTAAGAGCCTGAGCTCTGGGATCTCAGCTTGGCACATAGTAAGCATTCAATAAACATTAATATTGGGAGAAGGCTCAATGTAGTTAAGAGCACAGACTCTGGAGGCCCACTTCCTGGGTTCAAACCCTAGTTCCACTACTAACCAGCTGTGTGACCTTGGGAAAGTTACTTAGCCACTCTGTGCCCCAGTTGTCTCATCTATAAAATGAAGATAATAATAGGACACCTGTAATTATAAAGGTTAAAAAACAGAAGTAAAGCCCTTGAGACAGCGCTTGGCAAATTATTAGTTAGCTATCACTGTTACTATACTCTCAGTTTGCCATAAAGAAATATTCAAAAGTAACAGAAACAGTTTCTCCCAGGCTAAATGAGACAGGAGTTAAGAGAAAATGGATAAAATTAATCAGTTCTTGAGCTACCGAAATGTTTGCAGATAGAGCTGGGGAGTAGGAGAAAGAAAAATGTTGGAAGCTTTTCCTACCTGCCCCAGATAGTCCTAGAAGTCAGTCAGAATTTCCATTTGTCCTTAAACATCCCTGCAACATAGGACTGCAAGAGAAAGGACAGGCAGAGTAAACGGAGACAAAAGGCATTATTCTCAAATCAAAGGTACCTCGTAAAGGCTGGTCTCTTCAGAATCCAGCCTCCTAAGCAATTGCAGTTTCCCATCTAACCAGACAGGGGTGCTGAGCTGAAAGTCTTGCTGTTGGCAATAGTTATAGACACTAATTAACCTTCTCCTTTGGGACAGATGTTCTAAGCATTAGTCATACATTATCTCATCATAAAACCCTACAAAATAGGTAGTCTCATTATTCCCATTTTATATACGAGAAATCTGAGGCTTAGAGAAGCTAAGCAACTTGCCCAGCAGGCCGTATCTAATATTTGCAGAACTGGAGCAAGAGTACAAATGGAAGCATACTTAAAAAGTTGTAAATGAAGCTAATAAAATGCTAAAACAAAATACAGCTTATTCTGGTACTTTGACAAATAAACTTTGTCAAAGTTTGTCAATGACCCGGTAGGCTATAGTCAAATTTCTGAGTCTCTTGGAACTCCGCACTAGAAGGTAGTAGAAGTGGGGAGAACAAGACTCTAGCCCCACTTCCCTTCTCTTCATACCCCTAAATATGTCTCCCTGCAAGGGGCCTTGTGCACATGCATGCAGATGGCCTGACCTGTATGCTCACATTCTGTTATAGGGTTTCTAAATTGAAAGAGTCCTTCAGGTATCCAGCATAATGAATAACTAAAGAGCCACAATATCATCAGAATACTAGGGACCTAGAGAAGATTTTAAAAGCTTCCAGAAAAGGAGTGTTGGGAACCTCAAAGAATCGGGAATCGAAATGACATTGTACTTCTCAAAGCTAGAAGAAAACAGAGCAGTATCTTCAAAATTCTGAGAGAATTCAATCCTCAGCCAAATTACCAAATAAATATAAGAGAAGAATAAAGACATTTTCAGTGGTCACTTAACATGTATGATAGGGTGGTAGCCACCTCTAAGGTGGCCTCTAATGAGTTCTACCTCCTGGTATTTGTGCCTTTACATAGTCCCCTCACATCTTGAATATGGATGACCTTTGGAATCATGGGATATTGCAGAATAGACAGTATGTGACTTCTAAGGCTAGGTCGTAAAAGACATCGTGGTTTCTATCATGTTCTGTCTTGAATCACTTGCTCTGGTGAAAGCCATCATGTCATGAGGACACTCCTATGGAGAGGTCCATATGGCAAGGAATAAAGGCCTCCTGCCAACAGTCCATACCGACTTGCCAGCCACGTGAGTGCACCCTCTTGGAAGCAGATCTTCCAGCCCCAGTCAAGCTTTCAGAAAACTTCAGGCTCATGAGAAAGCTGAGCCAGAACAACCGAGCTAAGCCAGAAATTGTGAGATAAATGTTGTTTTAAGCCATTAAGTTTGGGAGTAATTTCTTATACAACAAAAGATAACTAATACAGGTATATTTGGGAAAAGAAAAGAGCCGCAGTGTTTTGCAGTTCTTCCAATCAAAAAGTGAAGTTTATTTCTCTACCCTTGAATTTGAATTTGGCCAATGAAACTTGTTTTGGCTTAAGGGGCATTAGCAAAACTTATAAAAGCTGAGAGTTAAAAAGTGCTTCTGCAATTGAGTCTTCTTTCTCTTGCTCCTCGAACTCTGCAACCGCCACCATGTGACTACATCAGGTAGCCTGCTGGAGACATGTGGCCCATCACCTCAGCTGACAGCCAATATCAACTAGACATGTGAGTGAGGCCATTCCAAACTATCTAGCCCAAGCCAACTGGCCCAGAAAAGATCTTCCCAGGAAATCTACAGAATCATGAGAAATAATAAATGCTTGTTGTTTAAGGCTTTTAACTTTGGGGCGATTTGTTACACAGCATAAGCTAATTGATACAACACATTTACTTCATATGCACCTTTTATTTCAGGAAATTATAGGATATACTCAAAGCCTGGTTACTTCCTAACTTTATCTGATTTTGAGCAAGTTAATTCACATGTTTCAGCCTCAGTTTTCCTCATCTTCAAATTGGAGGTGACATTTGGTAATACTACCTATCTCTTAAAGTTCATGTGACAAATAATTGAAATGAACTACATAATGTGCTGAGCACAATGACTGGCACATAATGCTCAATAAATCAGTAAACGATGACAATGATGAAAATGACAGGAAAGAAGCCAAAAGTGAGCAAAAGTCCTGAGTAAGGCCTGTGTTAGTCCTGCACTGGGACATGATCTTTCAAAGAAAAGCTATTGAGTATATCATTCAATTAAACATATACTAAGCTTCTACTACGTGCCAAGCCCTTTGCCTGAAACTGTGATGTGAAAGCATGACATTGAGCTATTCTGAACTAGAACCAAGCTTGCCTATTTCACAAAGAATTGAACTAGAACATCAAAATATTTCTGAATGAAACTTGAACATTTGGATATTTTGGTTTGTATTTCGCCAGCCCCTAGTCTTGCCTGGATGCTCCAGAGCCAGAAGTGAAGGGTAGGAGAGATCCAGAATATTCCATAACTTCCTTTACATCCTCTATCTTTTCTCCTTCCCACCAAGGAGTAAGAATACAGTCTATCTTGAAACCAAAATAATTTCAACTCTAAATAGTGACTCTCAATTCTTTTAACCTCAACCCACGATATGAAAACATTTTAACATTGCACCTGAGTACACAAACCCAAGACTTAAAATGTGTGACACATTCTTCATTTTTTTATTATATTGTTTTATTTTTTGAATGCTGGTCACAATCCTCTGAGTGGATTTTAAGACTCCATTAATGGGTCACAACCAGCCGTTTGAAAAAACTGCTCTTAATTATCACACTCGGAGGGGACTTAAAGGTCATCTAGTCCAATCCTTGTACTTTACAGGAAGTAAACTGAGACTCAGAGAGGTTAAGTCACTTGTCCAAGGCCACACAGCTAGAAAGTGGCAGTGCTTGGATTTGAATCAAGATCTGACTCAGCTATTGAATTCTTACCATATGTCAGCCATTGTGCTGTTCTTTAAGTGCATCATTTAATACTCACTGCGATCCTATGAAACATATTATCATTCCCACTTTACAGACGAGGAAAGGAAGTCTCAGGATGGGGAAAATGACCTATTCAGAGTGTCCCACCGTCAGTAGCAGACCCAGGACTTGTCTTCAGATCCGGCCGTCCATAAAGCCTCTGCTCTCGACCGCTAGGCCCACTGTGAAGAAAGTGGTTTCAAAAGTGGGTTTATGAGCTCTAAGCACCTAAGCATGCACATGTGAGGCAGAGATAACGTTGTGCTCCCTGCTCTCCAGGGCCTTATCGTTGCGCACGCATTTCTCCACCAGCTCCCCCAAACGAGATGGATTCGAAACCCAGCGCCACCATTTACTCGGAACGCCAGCCTAATCATTCTGCCCTTCGGTTTCCACATCTGTGAAGCTGGGATAAGCAATAACATCCATTTCCAGGACTGAAAGAGTCAACATGAATTCCCTGGCACTGGGAAGCCCTTGTCCAAAGCCAATACTCCGCGAGCCCCGCCCAACTTCTCCCTGGACGCATGCGCCGCACAGGGGCGCCTTTTACGACGCAGCGGCCACGGCGCGCTTGGCGGCCGGAGCGGAGGGAGCGCGGTGCGGAGCGCGGTGCGAACCGCGGAGACAGTTCGAGAGGACGCGCGGGGGGCGACGTAGTTATGTCGCACGGACACAGCCACGGTGGGGGCGGCTGCCGGTGCGCGGCCGAACGGGAGGAGCCACCGGAGCAGCGCGGTCTGGCCTACGGCCTGTACCTGCGCATCGACCTGGAGCGGCTGCAGTGCCTCAACGAGAGCCGTGAGGGAAGCGGCCGCGGTGTCTTCAAGCCGTGGGAGGAGCGGACCGACCGCTCCAAGGTGGGCCTTTCGGGGCCTGGGGCGGGCCGAGGCGGGGTCCCCTGCGGGGCGTCGGGCCGCCCGTCTGCTCTGGCAGCCTCATTCCTGAAGTTAAAAATAACGACAGCGCGATTGCCAAGCCCTTTCCCGTGCCCCTTTCCTGCCAGCCTTTTGGGAGCCGAACAGGATCGAGTCTCCCCATTTTGAAGAGAGAGGAACTGAGGCCCAGAGGAAAGGGGGGCGCTTTGGCAGTGCACAGCCAACGTTCTGTTCCAGGGCTTCGGTGGGTAATGAGAGAGAATGGCCATGAGGGCGTTTTCTTAACTTCTCACCGCTAGTTGCAGTGGCTGCCTGACCATATCACCTGGTGAAGACCAAATACTAGCCCTAGGGAGCTGAAACCTTTTATCCTATCTAGAATATTTACCGTTGTGGGGTCACAGCCCTTTGAAAGTTGTGGACCGCATATGCACAGATTTTGCGCACAATTTCAGGAGGCTAGTTGGCCCTGAAGTTCATTCATGGGCTCCCGCAATAAGAACCCTCTGATTAGATGGTCTGTGGCTATTAAGTGCCGGAAAACCGAGGGAGTTTTACTATTTATCTTATTGCACCCCACTTGTAGAACAGGGTAGAATGTACCTGAAATTGTAGGCTCTCAGCAAATATTTGTTGCTTTCTCCCTTCCCCTCCCCACCCCGTCTAGTTTGTTGAGAGTGATGCAGATGAAGAGCTTCTGTTTAATATTCCGTAAGTATCTCCTTGGTGTTTGCCTCAGGCTAAATAGACTGTACCCAGTTGCTTTATCAGAATTCATTCATTGGTTGTGTGAAGAACCATCTGTTTGTAGAAATGGGGTAAATTACTGTGGTGGGTTTGAGGAGGAAAACATCGCTTTCTTGGTGCAGACCAAAAAAGATGTATTTGTTGAAAGATAAAAGTGAAGGTAAATTTCTTAGACTGCAGAATGCGGGAGGCGGACAGGATCTTAGAAATCATCTGGTACAAGTCTGACACATGAAGCCCACAAAGGGGAAGGGTCTTGCCCAGGGTCACACAGATAAAGCAGAGGTTCAAACTCATGTTGACAGCCGTATGTTTTGCATTCTGGCAGTTTCACAGGCAATGTCAAGCTCAAAGGCATCATTATAATGGGAGAGGATGATGACTCGCACCCCTCTGAGATGAGACTGTAAGTGGCAAGGGCTTAGGCCCACAGGAAGCTTCTAATTCTCTTTTCTCTGGTAGCACTTTATTCCTGAATAATATTTTTTCTTTTTATTGGGTTAAATATCTCCTTCCCCCGCTAAAAAAAAAATCTTGGTCTTGTTCCGCATCAGAATACACTCATCTCTTCCTGAATTAATGAGTTTTTTAGATTAAGCATCTTTAAGAACAACAGTTTATCTCTTTTCAAAGTGCTTGCTGTGGCACCATTTGTTCAGAGAGCATCCTATAAATGCCAATTGTTGATGACTTTGCAATTTCCTTAATAACCCAGCTGCAGATCTCAAGTGATCTTTATAGATTCTATTCGAGCTTCAAAATGTCCCCTTGCTATTTCATACAGTTATAATCTTTGTGTGTATTTTGTTGACATGGAATTACTCCACTTGTTTGTGTGGCCTTTAGTTAGTAAAATTCAATATTCCTCTTGCAACACTAGATCCAACACTAGAACTAGTACTCCTTTTAAACAACTTGCTCAGAAAAAAAGAGGACCGCTTTTAGAGTGTTGGAGAAACAAATATCAGAACTTAAAATTTTTTTTCTGAAAAATTGATCAAATTAGAGACTCATTTATGTGGGAGATGGACTGACTTGAGCAGGCAACTAGACATGTTGCCTTGTGGTTAAGATTGGGCTCTGGAATAAACTGCTGGGGTTCAAATTCTGGCTGTATCACTTGCTAGCTGCATGGCTTTGAGACATTACTTATCTTCTCTATGTCTCAATTTTCTCAGATGTTAAATGTCAGTAGTAATAGTATGAAACTCATAAGATTGTGGAAAGAATTGAGATAAAACATGTAAAGAGCTTGCAATGAGTCAGGAACACAGTAAGTGCCCAATTTTGGGAGAGCAGGTGCAAGTACTTACATAGCCCTCGGTTCTAAGCACTTTACACATATACTTTATTGAAGCTATCTTTGATTATATCATTACTTTATGTGCCATTAAGAAAGAAAAAATATTGCCTGTTCAAATATGACATGTCATTGACACATCCAGAAAAGTTAAATTGAGACTTAAATCAATGAAATTTGAACACAGGGTGTTAGATGATATTAAAGAATTGTTAATTTTTGTAAAATGATATGATAGGTATTTTTTAAAGAAGTCCTTATCTTTAAGAGATACATACTGATGTATTTATGAGTGAAATGATATGTTTAGGATTGCTTTAAAATATCAAGCACAAAATGGGAGAGATAGGCAAAATTGGCATAATGTGGGTTACTGAAGCTGAGTGATAAGTGTTTGGAGATTCGTTATTTTCGCTGCTTTGGTGTGTGTTTGAAATTTTCCATGGTAAAATTTTTTTAATAGGTGTGTCTCTTAGAATTGATTCAATTTAATCTCCACGTCAGCTATATGGGATATGTACTATCACTATCCCCATTTTACAGATGAGGAAACAGACACAGAGAGGTTAAATCACTTGCCCAAAATTATACAGCTGGTAAGTGACAGAGCTATTCTTTAAACCTAGGAAGTCTGGCTCCAGAGACACTGCTTTTAACTTCAGTGCTATACTGCCTCTCATAATGCTGCTCGTAAATGTTCACCATTATTATTATTGTCTGCATTATTCTTAGATCACTTTGAAGCAAACATTTGTTTTCTTAAATTACATGCATTTTGCTGCAGCTAACATCGAGGCCCCTCCTGGGTGAGTGTGTTAATAAAACACTCTAAAGATGGTAGGGGTGTGTGTCTCTCCATCCTTTAGAATTTTTGAAGTATAGAGGAGACAGCAGTTTTTTGAAAAATTTTTTCTTCATTAGCACTTTTACTTGACTTTCCAAAAGCCCGTTGTGAGTTTGCATCCTTTTGTGCTCTTTTCAAAACAGAAATCCCCAAATTGCATTTTTTTAAGAATTGTAATATGACTTAGTACACAGGGTAATTTTGAACACAAAAAATGCTTGAGCGTTGGGTTACCTGATCTTATCTCTTAACTGTGTTTAATATGTTTCTGCCAAAGTATTTCCGCCCCCCGCCACCATGAGTAAGCTGTTTTATTTAAACATCCTCAGCTTGGTCTGAATGCGCTGAGTTGCTTATTTTCTCCATGTATTCACTGCATGTGACCTAGTTTGAGCTATCTCTTTGTGTATTGCTTCTCATGTGATCCTAACCCACTCAAAGATGCCATTGGCTTACGTTGCAAGTCTCAGCTCTTTTCTTGTTGGATTAAAGATATTTGTGTGTAAATGCCAGTAAAATGCCATTTCCAAAGTTTGATCTTCTTTTGATAGAACCGAAGGCAGGTGAATCAATAGGAAGTTTTGAAAAACTGAAAAACGGGATAATGCACTTATCTTGATTTTTCTTCCCTTTTCTTTAGGTACAAGAACATTCCACAGATGTCCTTTGATGATACAGATAGGGAGCCAGACCAGACCTTTAGTCTGAACCGGGACCTTACAGGAGAATTAGAATATGCTACAAAGTAAGCACTGGGCCTGTCTTCCACTCTCTGTGGCTTCTGAGGAACATCAGGCACTCCCTCATTTGCAATGAACATACACGCATTAGCACTTACCAGGCTTGCAATTTATTTTTGGCCCATCTCCTCTCTTAGCATCAGAAACAAGTTAACAATGGATTAGGCTTGATCCTTGGTTTGGTCAGTTTTTGGCAGAGGTTCAATGCAAGCCACAGACTTGTTAACTCTAAGCAATTGGCACATTTGAATGAGTTCCTAGGTGGTCTTAGGAAAGATGTTTTCAGAATTCCTCTGTGCATGGTTGGCTTACATTAGGCCAAGTCACACATGACTACCTTATTTCTTCGCTAGTTCTCTCTCTTTCCCAAGGTGAAGTCAACACTGGACTTGCTTTAGAATCCCTGCTTGATCATACAGCATTTCTTAATCCTGCTCCTTGAGGGCAGGGCCAGTGTTGATTTTTTTCGATCCCTGTTGCCTTGGGCAGGATCTGGCAAGTGCTCTTGGTAAATGTTCATGGAATTAGTTGCTTGTCCGAAGGAGAAGAATGAGACACGAGACCCCAAGAATGTTCTCTGACATTTGCCTGGGTTTTGCCACAAGTTGGAGGTGGAATTATTCTTAACATGTAGTCAGATACTCTCTGAACTCTAACCTATGTCTTCTCTCTCCATTCCTTTCGTCCTCTAGAATTTCTCGTTTTTCCAATGTCTATCATCTTTCAATTCATATTTCAAAAAACTTTGGAGCAGATACCACAAAGGTCTTTTATATTGGCCTGAGAGGAGAATGGACTGAGGTAAGACAGGGTCGGAAACCCTCCAATATTTGCATATATCTGCATGCCGTGGTAGTGAGAGCTTAAGGAAAGGAAAAAGAGCAAATTGAGACGTTGCTTGCTCCCAGTCTGTTCATAATTTTCTTGGTTTCGTTACTGTAAACTCCCTCTCATTTGACAGGCAGTAGGTATTTTTAAGGGAGTGGGAATAATACAGTTAATACTAAT